CCCCCCCCCCCCCCCGGTGACGTTGAACCTCTCATTATCCGGGCTGCACGCGTCGACTAATTACCGTCAGCGCACGAGATCTCGGAATCGTCCGTTTCGCAGATTGTACCTGTCGATTGTTGCCCGAAGGCGATGTCGTTGACATTCGTGTCGATCGCGAATGTCACCGAGCTGGTTGTCTCCGACCACCTCATCAGCGCGTTTTCGTCATTTGTAGCGATTTCTCTCCGCTCGTCGTCTTCGATACGGTCTCGTAGAGACTCTCGTTCATGGATCCCCTCCTTCATCCACCGGTTGAAGATAAACAAGAAGAAGAAGAAGAGAATACGAGGGAGGGAGGGGGCACCGGTGCCCGCATAACTCTCAACGGTTCTAGCGGAGCGACCCGCAACCCTTTGAAGGTTTATGCCGATTCAGAAACGAGTTGATTCATGAAGACGGCACGGACCTCCTCGAGATCCACGGCTCGGGGCGCCCCAGGCCGTTGCGGGTGGTCTTGCGAGTTGATTTCTTGTTTCCTCGACCGCAAGCAGAACGCGGTAGCCCCTCTTCTTCGACTGGTTCGCGAGAGAGAGGGAGAGAAAGAGAGAGAAAGAGCGCGCCGGGAGAAAAGTGGAGAAAGAGAGAAGCCGATAGAGAGAGATAGGCCGGACTAAGCCAAGCGTTCCCCGCTGTCCGCATAGCTATAGCGATTGTCGATTTAAATGTTTACTAATAACCAGGCTTGTCCAGCAACCACCCAGAAGTCGGTCGCTTTACATTTTTATAAGTACATCCCGGCCCGTCCCGGTTCCGAGAATGAGAACGTTTCATATTCATCCGCCGATCTGAAAGGACGATCCCCTACGTCGACTCGTAGAGAGACCTTCTCATCCTCTCTCTCTCTCTCTTTCTCTCTCCGTATGCATTATCTTTGCTGAATTGCACACGATGCACGATGCGATTAGGCTCGAACGCCGCACCGACGATCGACATGTCGTCGCGCGACTCGACCGACTCGGATCTACCCAGGAGTATCGAGTTGTATTCCGACGAGTCGAGCGCGCACATATATATATCTGCATACACAAAACGAAAATAAGAAAATGGAGACAATAGATGCGCTCGGTGGCGCGCGATTAGCGGCGTGTATGATTGGTGTTGGGTTCGGAGAAATGACAACTCGTTTCGCTTTCCGTAATGATTCGTTTATTGCGAAAGGACACAGTCTGCGCGTCATCCGCCGATGTGACATCAGCGAGCTCGCGTGAAATTTTGGACACGAATGACTAAAAGGTGATGGCGATCGTTCACTCTCGACATGACATGATATGTTGACAGCCGTTGTGTCCAGAGGGGGGCTTCACCTGCGCGCGACCTCGCCGACTCGCGACCCGGGTTGTCCTTACGATCGTCTTCGAGGTCTCGACGGCCGGAATTGAACTTTTCTTTCCTCTCTTTTTTTTTTATTTCCTTCTTTTTTTCTTCCCTGTTTCTCTCGCGCGAACGGAACTGCAAGCAATGTCGCGCGCGAATCGACGGAAGCGATCGACGTTTCCGTTGGGAGATCGCGATTCGGCAGCGTTTCTCGCCACGATAGTGCCGTTCTTGAGAAAAAAATCGCGGAATATAATCCACAGTGCAGAAATGAAGAAGTCAAATAAATAAGAAGGAAGGATACTTACAAGAAGAAAGAGAAAGAAAGGAAGAGATAGAGAGAAGGGGAGGAGAGAGAGAGAGAGAGAGAGAGAAAAATTAACCAAAGGGCGAATTTTCCGAAAAATCTACGTTAACTCTCCGGCCGTCCCTCGCGATCCGTCGCTGCGACTAAAACGACCCATACCTCGTCATGCACGACCGAGTCGACGTGAATCGATAATATTATAAACATTGCAATAACAATAATAATAATCATAATAATCATAATAATAATCGTCATTAATATGAATTATGTGTGATCTCAGGTATGCTAGTAATATTGTGTCTACTCTACATACAATACATACACTGGCCGGACTGTTCCTCTACTGGGCCTCTCTTCTACTATTTACAAACGCATAAATAATAATAATTATTGTTATCGTATAGTTTTTTTTAATATATTTATAGTATTTATACGTAAAAGTAGAGTACTTGTCGAGTTGACGCTAGTTAACCGTATGGTTACACCGCGATTAGCCACCTACTAGGGTAGTCGGTACTACGATTTTCCGTTCTCATCCGTGAATAATAAACGGAGTACAGAAAATAAACTCGTCGGGGGTCGCGAGAGTGAGAAGGGAGGATTACAGAGGAATGACAGGGTTAGGTCGAGGGTGGCGAGAGATGAAAGGAACATCGACGATATGGATATCGAGGGGGGAAAAAACCCAAAGAGCAAGACTAGGAACGAGGGGGGAGGGGAAGAAGAGTGTGGGACGGGGTTGTCGGGGCAGTATCTCGTCGTCTCCCGTATTATACTGTACACTAATTTACAAGATCCTTGTCCTCTGATTATTGTCAGCCACACCACACGCGAAAACGCCGCGTCGTTGGTCGCACAGCGCGCGAATTGCGACGTACGACATTTTACCGTCCGTCTCTCGTACCTGTGTGTGTTCCTCTCGTGCTTCCCTCTCCCCTTCATTATTAACGATCGGTCGCCGCGTCGAGTCACACTCGTCCGGGTGACTTGAGTTCCTGCGTCGTGGACGCGAGACCGCTCGCCGGATGTGGCGACTGATCGGACCCGCCCGAGGACGCCGTCGACGACGACGACGGCGACAGTCCGGAGGACGCGGTGGTCAGCAGGACACCGGCCGATCCAGCAGCACCGCCACCACCGCCTGCTCCGCCGACGACGACACCGCCCCCGACGACGCCACCCCCGTTGATCGAGAAAGGTTTCACGTTACCGGCGACGGAGATCGCGGAGGACGAGGTCGTCAGTATGCTCGGGGCGGTGGACGGCGGAATCACGCCGCCCAGTCCACCGAGAGTCCTCGAATAAGTCTCCAGCAGGGATATATCGCCGGTGCCCAGGTGAGACGCGCCGTATAGGTTCCTGTAGAAGTCCGGATGCGGTCGCACGAATTGCGTGCCCGGATGTATCGCCGGGTGCAGAGAATGGTGGGTCGGCAGTCGACTGGCCAGCGGATTCACCAGCTTGCCCGGTCCGCCGCCGCCACCCCCAGCGGTCGCGCTGCCGTAGGGCGTCGTCGCGAGATCCGTCATCGTGGTGGGATTCGTGTTGGCCGTCTGCTCGCCGTCCTTGCTCGCCATGTCCGCGAGCGACCAGATCCGCGGCTTCGCGGGCACCGCGCTGCCCGTCGTGGACGCGCTCGTGCTCGCCGGTAGATGATGGTGTTGGCTGCCCGGTGACGTGCTCTCCGGCGACGGGTGACGCAACAGCCGGCCGTGATAGGCCGGGTGTTGCAGTTGCAACGGATGCCTCGGCTCCCTCTGGTCGTACAGGCATTCCGGGCTGTCCGGACCGCTATCCGCCCGCGACTCGCTCCACTCGCTCTCGGTTCTACCTTGCACGCCAGCCGATCCGCCGCTGCTACTGTGCAGGAGGTCGAGACGGTGCGCCGGTCGCTCGCCGTCCTCGCTCGAACCTGTACCCGAGTCTTTCGAATCTGAACCAAGAAGAGAAGTCGAGTCACGTGATCCGACCGAACAGTTCCAAGTGATTCGTCTCGCGTAGACCGAACGATACAAACGATGACGGTCACGGGAATACGTAGTTATAAAATGTTCGTGATAATAGAAACAATCGTTGGTTAACGGGGAAGCTCGTTAGTGTATACAGTGAGAAAAATTACTTACTGATGCGGCAGATTTTGTGCTGATTTGTTCTAACAGCTAAATTAATGTATCCTGAGGATAAATTCGCTCGACGGAATATTTTATATCGCGGCAACGAAACTTTATCTACTCTGATTACGAACAATATGTTAATTTGCTTTAGCCGATGAAATTTTATCGCCGTTGCAGCGGATATACAGTAGCGACGATGTGATTTTATAACAAAACTATTTTACAACAAAATTATTTTCCCCCTTATACAAGATACAATCGCGAACGGAGAACGGAGAGAAATGTATACGGTGGATGAAAAATCGGAGGCAAGGCGCATGGGAAATGGAAATACGTCGTTACGATGGCCGCATTATACGGTAGACCGGACTGATAAACGATCGAAAACGCTGTGAGTGCGAATAAAATCGGCGATGATCGAGAAAACCGGACTCACCTAACCGATCTTTCTCGTCGACGCTCTTCCTCCCGCTGTCGTCGTCCTCGTTATTATTATCCTCGTCTTCGACTCGGTTTCTCGGTTCCCACGTCATCTTATTTTCCTTTTTCAAGCGCCTTCGCGCGTTCGCGAACCATGTCGACACTTGCGTTAGCGTCATCTTCGTTATAATAGCCAGCATGATCTTTTCTCCCTTTGTGGGGTACGGATTCTTCTTGTGCTCGTTCAGCCACGCTTTCAGCGTGCTCGTCGTTTCCCGCGTCGCGTTCTTCCGCCTCGCACCGTTCAGATCCATGCCGTAGCTGCAACAAGCCGAAAGCAAGAAAAATTACATGCGACGTCGTTCTCGTCTGTTTCGACCGATCGACCCAGTAGTTCTATACCTCCGCGCGAAACGCATTTTCCTGGCTGATCCCGACACGCAACCGACGCATTTCTTAACGCGAAAGAGACGTTTCTCTCTCAACGACGGATGAAAGCGGTAGAGAAGTGGAAATTCGCGCGCGTAGCGGAGTAGAAAATCATTGTCTGTTCGTTTGCGCGCCCGGCAACAATCTGCGATCGGAGCAGATGCCGGACGAGCCAAGTCATCCGTTTATTATCCCGTAACTGGTCCGGTAGGATCGAAGCGGGCCTCGCCGGGGCATCAGTCGAGGGATTAAGTTTTACATCGAGGACGTTTTCGTCATCCGGAGGATGCGCGTGCCCCAGATAGGCGCGAGCGTATACACACACAGGGCGCGAACGATACTTTATACGAGCGAGCGAGAATAAACGAGACATCGGGGTGCAGAGAGGGAGGGGAGGAAACAGGAGAGGTCAGGGGGGGGGGATTCGTTGGCGGAGAGTCCGTGGAAGCTCGCGTCGGAAAACTTATCCCATCGTGGGGCTCGTTATGCCTTCCCCAGCCGGTATAAAAGTCCGAGAGTCCTGCTCGGTTTGAGGAGCGATATAAGCGGGTAGGTAGGTACTACTTCCATCCCGAGAGCAGATCTCTATCTAACGGTTTAAGCTCCTTCCTTCCTTCCTTCCATCCTGGCCAGAGGAATGGAGCGGAAAGAGTAGGGGCTGAGGAGGTGACGGTGAGAAAGAGAGGGGGGGGGGGAAGAGGGCAACCTTCACCTCCGCCTCGTCTGCCGCCTCGCTCTGTCGGACTAGAGCGACCGACCCTCTGGGATCCCATTACTAAAAGACTAACCCTTATCAAAGATTAAACTTTGGTATAACTGCTGAATCGACGGGATCGAAATTAAATTTTCCACCACCGGGGCGGCCGGCTGTAGAACTCACGGGATACTTCCTCCCCGCTCTTTTCTTTCCATTCTGTCTCTCTCTTTCTCTGTACCTCCGTCTGCCTGTCTATCTATCTGCCTGCCTGTTTGTCCTTTTCTACTTCCGCCGTCGGATTCTGTCCCCCTCTTATTCCCCCTTCCGTGTCCTTCGTGCTCGTTTTCCGCGCGTGTACAATCTGAACGATCGCGTCTCGTATCGCGGCACGTCGGGCGTCCGGAGAGACATCGGAAATAGTTTTCTCCTTCACGAGGTGCTCGTTGTTCAACTGTTAATGATATCGCGAATGCCAACGAGCTCCGACGAGCGTCAACGAGGGTTGCACGTACGGAGATGGGGAATTCTGTTACAAGCGACGAGCTTTCAATCGAAGTATCTCCGGAATGTAAAACAGGAAAACAGTCGCGCAGTGGACGAAAGCGAACTCTGCGGAGAACATCTCGGCGGTGAAGACGCATACTCTCGTAAAAAGCAGCGATCATAACTCGTGGAGTCGTGAGAGAGATGCGAATTGATTGGAATCCCCAGCAGAGGCAGCAGCATCCTCAACATCCGGCTTCGCCTTCTGGGCTCGGCGGTCACCCCGTCACGGCGCGTCGCCATTATTGAGCTTTATTTTCGCCTTCGCACCCCGAGACGGGGGGGTGGGTTGGGTGGAGGCTCCGTGTATGGACGCGCGACTGACATCCCCGGTGTTGCGTGGCGTCGGATAGGTTAGATAGGGTTAGTGAGCGTGGAAGTGGCGGCGGGAGATGGGAAATTAATAAAACTGTCACTTATCTACCCTTCTCTCCGAGGCAGGCCTACACACACGGCATTTCTCGCTCCTCTATCTTCGTTCTCACCCTACGCCGCAACCTCCCCCCGTTCTCGCCCTCGGCTTCGTTCGCACCACCGTCGCCACCACCACCCTTCGCCTTCCTCTCTCTCGCTATCTCGCCGTCGCACTTTTCCCGCTTCTATTTGTCTCGCTCCGATTCCGGGCGCCCCGCATGCGGGATTTGAAGCAGCTGAAACGAAGCGCTAAACATTTCAATTTGGCATCAGGCGCTCCCATGCCGAGTGCGCGCGCGCTCTCGTTCTCTCTCTCTCTCGCGCACGCCCGCGCACTGATACACATCTCTTTCTCTCTCGCTCCGTCTCTTCGTCCTCCGACCTAGTCTATCCTCTGTGTGTTCCTCGTCCTATCCGCTCGATGCCAGGTCGCTGAGGGTCGGAGACGCGTACCGTGCTCGTCGAGCGAGCGGGAGAGAACGGAGGCGAAGGGTGGATAGAGGCGGAGAGCGCGCGCGAGGTGGACCGACATCGATGGAACAGACCAGGAAAAGTGAGAGGAAGACAGAAAAGAGCCAAGAGCACCACGAGGAGAACAGGGGGTGGCTGGCAGGCAGGGCGGCGGCGGGGATGGCTTAACCCCGGTCTGTTTGCGAGGAGCAAATGGCGTTCTGCAGTTATTTTAAAATTCAGCCGGTGGTAGGGGGCGCGGATCGGATTAAAAAATCAGAGTGGAAGCTTGTTTCTCATGATAACAGCCAGCCGCCCCGAGAGCGGCAACTGCTGCTGCTTTCTCCCGATTCCTCCTCCCTGCCACCTCCGCGTCTCTCTATCTCTCCGCTTCCTCCATCCATGTTCCGAGCCCGTTCTGTCTCTTTTCTTGGCTCACCGCGTACGGTTCTTCTCTCTCTTCCCCTCTCACCCTCCGTTACTCATTCTCCTACATTTCTCTCCCGTTCCTCGTCCCTCCCGCACTCGCTCACGCTGCGATTCTCCCAATCTATCTCCTGCACAGCCGCTACCTCCGGTATCATCGCCGCCGCTACCATCGCTATCGCCATCGTCAACCGCTTTAAATACGACAGCTATATATATACGGCGAGCCGGTAGAGAATATAGACGAGAGCGGGCTCTCTCAGTGCACTTGCCGGAGATATAAATATATATGCAAATGCACACAGGTACATACACTCTCGCGCATCCTTCTCCCTTTTCGCGCGCATCGCGTCAACCGGGCTCGTTTCCCGTAGCCCGATGTGGCCTACGCCGCATTCCCCAATTCTTGCTACGTTGCTCGGGGTTTTCGCTGGTGAAAAAATATCAAAACTTCATCGCGCCGTGTTGCCTCGCTCGCGTTTCTCGCTGAAATCGATTCGGCATTCCTCTCGACTGATGCGATTCACGCGGATGCAATCCGGCTCGTCGCATTTCACAGAAGCCCGCGCGCGTCGTTGCCACCGTATCTCCGGGGCGAATACTTATCGGGAGATGTTTTCGGCAATGCCAGTGCGGATTGCGTCACGGAATGCGTTACAAAGATGCTCGACGGTAGCGGTGACGCGATTACCGGTATATCGGAGGACGAAGTTAAAGAGACCGGTGTTGTTCGAGCATCGAAGCTAATATCTCCGTAATTTGATAGTAGTATGGGAGGAGGAGCGGTCGCGTAGTTAAACGGGAGTTATTGACAAGCGTGGAATCGTCGGGTAGAGAGAGGAGTCGTGGAGGAAAGCCCGAGACGGAGAGTTGTTATTCCCCACGAGAGCTCGCCGGTAGCCGAGAGTTCCCGCGAAGCTACGGAATGTATCGATCAACGCGTATGCGAGGTAAATTTGAATACAATCACGTAACGAACGCGTATATATCACCATTAAGCCGTCCACCGAGCCAGCACAATGTCTCGGGCAATGCTAATCTAACGTATGTACGAGGTGTTGAATTAATGCCGCGAGGCGGTCTGATTAATGCAAGTCGTAAAAGTATTATCGCCGATACATACACAAGACACTTCTCCGCTGACGTAAACTGCATTGCTCCGTCTGCATGAATTTCCCCGCGATAATTATAATCTCCGCGAACGAAGGAACGAACCGTGTCTCCCCCCCCCCCCCC